CCAGTGTTTTACCACCCTCATTGTAAAAAATTTCTTCCTTAAAAGAAGAAAGATTCTCTTCCCAAAGAGAATCTCAGCAGAGCACAAATTGAAGCAAATTCTCTGAACTTCCAAAGCTTGTGTTTAACCACACAACTAATTCTTTAAATAGAAGCTAGATGAGGTGTACAGTGACTTTTGGAAACTCAGCTCCCCTGGTGTACCAGCCCTTCATATCTTCTGAGAAAGTGCAAAAAGGCAAGCGGTTTAGACTAAGAGCTGTCTAGAGAGGCCAGCAGGATTGTCACCTGGTGAAGGAAGTCCTCTAGCATCCAGAAGATAGGAGAAGGCAGAGAACAGTCTGGGCCCAGTACGTTGGTGATGGAGACTGAACTGGTTGATTCTGGGTGCGGGTGGGGAACCTTCCTGCATGCAGGCCAAGAAGCACAGGCGAGCTGAGGCTTTCGCTTTCCGTATGTTTGGGATGAGCCAGTGGAACGTGGTGGAGTTGAACGCACAGCTGGCCATCTGGAGGACGTCAGCTGACAGCTGCAGAACGAAAGGGAGCTGTCTTCTCTCCCGTAGCTCAAGGGCACCCATGAGGAGCAATTAAAAACCCTCACCACTGAAAACTTTGTGCCTGCCCTTCTTTTCACAGATCCGCAGCACAGTCCGTGATTTAGTCTTAATTAAGATGCCAGTCTAAAAACATCCTGTCATATTTTAAAGCCTGTTCTTTCTTTGTATATTTTCCCACAAACACTTTTATCACGACCTTGATCTTACAGCACAGACCCGGGCAGAGCTTTTATTAATTGCAAACTACGACCTTTTGCTGTATCTTATGTAATGCTTCGTTGGAGCCTAGAGTTCTGCAGAAGAAAAAAAAAGGGCTGTCTGTTGCTAAAAACACTATAGTACATGCACCATTCTAAGCGTATCTCTTCCTCTTTATCTCTGAAGGTTATGCGAGATTAAATTTTACATGCAGGGCATGGCTCACCTCTGTCGCTGCCCTCAAAGCAATCAGTTTTTGAGACTGGAATGTCTCCCTCAGGGAGGAAAGACTTGTTTCTGCCCCTGCAAGAAAAGCAGATAAGACGCTGTGCCTGTGGGCAGATTACTTTTCCCCTTTGGTAGAGGTTTTTTTGCTGTTCATAATGACTATGGTTCTGGGACCTGTGGTTTTTGAAATAAATAAATAAAAATCTGGCAAGTGCAGTCATTTCATTTATAGCTGTAGTAGGAACTTGCCAGGGAGCACGGGAGCAGGCAGCGGAGCACAGCCTATCTTCCTTCTCCGACAGCACCATTTATTTTCAGACTAAAGGACTTTTGTAGAGCGAGGGAACAAAAAACCAACAAAACCATTTAGGCACAAGAGACGGCACTCGAGAACGGCGCGAAGAAGGGCAGAGGGACCGCCAACACCCGTGGCGACAGGACTGCTTGTCTCTACCTCACACGCGTCCTCGGCCGGCCCTGCCTGGCACGGCCGCGCTACCCGCACGAATATAAAGCGCCACTACGCT